AGGCACGTGATAAATAAGTACAGGGAAAATGTGTCGCAAGGTGTGCCGCAAAGATAAGGACAAGAAGTGTGCAGTCCTGTTTTTTATCACCACAGCAGCCACCGTGAATGAGAAATGAAGAACTGCGCTGCAGAGTAGCAGACTGTCACAGTTACAACACAGTAACAGATTTGAGGGGTACTATCCTTTTTCTAGGAGTGGGTTGGGGTTTTGTTTGTTTGTTTCTCCCCTTTGCAAAACCAGCTGGTCAATGTCAAGTATCAGTTGAGCACCTGTCCATTTTGGAATAAGCCACAAATTCACCAATGCCTTATGCAACCAGTAGTGCTTTGGTGTTGCAAGCAAGTTCATCCCTCTGGCCTCATGCTAATGCATTTAATTAGCTTCTGTCCCTCTTTGCAGCACCCAGAGTCCGAGCAGTTGACCAATGACATTGGTCACCTGTTGCTGGTCTTTCATATCCTTTTTAGTACATTTATAATGTCTTAGGGTCAGTTTGCTTAAGAGGAAGAGAAGCAGCCTCTGAGGCACTATAAAATCTGTAGTAAGTCAGTTTCCTCTAGAAATAAGGGCTCATCAACACTATCCATTTTAAAGTGCTCTTATACCACATTCATGCCCCTCCCCAATTAATCCTGCGAACTGCAGATCCTTCAGGGTCTCCTAAACAAAGTACAGGAAGTGACCTAAATTGCTCAGCAATAAGGCTCACTCTATAGATGAGCTTTCTTGGAAGAAAGTAGACATAGGATTGCTGCTTCATTTTTTTGTAAAAGGAAAACTGAGAAGCTATTGACTACTAGGGCTCATCCAGACTTTGTCTAGTCCTACCACTTCCCCCTGGAGACACCCACTCTCTCCTACTGAATCGGAGCAAATGTCAATTTGGTTTCTCATGTATTGTATTGATAGATTGCTCTGATTCAGTGGTAAAGAGCAGGTTTTCCCAGGGAAAGCAGCAGGGCAAATGAAAAACCTCTTGTGCATTCTAGGCGCAGGATGAGCAAAGTGTGGATGAGCCTCTAGAGAGAGTGGGAACTGCAGACTGCTGTACCCTATGCTACCTAAGCATGTGTATTTTAGTTTTTGCCATCTGAGAAGCAGGGAAATTTTAAAGCTGAAAATAGAAACCACCAATGTTATAGTAAATTAGTACATCATTTGCTCAGAGGCTCATCCTCTAGAGGTGCTTTTTACTGATGATTTGTGCTCATGATGCTATTAGGGTGGTCATATGTGCTCCTGCTTTCAAGTTTTGGGGTGATCATAGTGCTTCATTTCCAATTAATGCATATCCTGTAACTTCTTGTTGAAATCCCGTAACTTTTCATACCACAAATGTTCAGGGTTTTTTGTGGGGGGAGGGTGTCTCCACGTTTGTTGCACTGTAGCCTTTCCAGACACCAATAATGTGTTATGATTGGGGAAGCATCACAGAACAACTAGTAAAGCAGAATGATGTGTGGGTGATCCGGTATAAATCCACCATTAGTGCGTTAATTTTGTGTCAAGAACATGTTGCAGAATACACACACACACACCAAAACCCAAGTCTTGAGGAGCTCAGAAACCAAATCCTACAGGCACAATAGGAAAGAGTAGGAGCAGAGTTGGATATCCTTCCAATTTCCCATTTTGCCAGCATTCTAGGAACAAGATGCAAATGACGATAAGCACTACAATGTAGTCTCACTGTTTGCCTTTTAACCTTCAGAAGATGACGATAGCTATCTACACCAGTGGAATGTGTCGGTCCTGATACATGTAACTGCTTGCTATATATCCAGCAGTCAAAGAAACCAGGACCAGTCACAGTTGGCAGGAAACTCCGAAACAGAGAGAGTCCAGGCGGGTGTAGTTTCAGGAACAAAATGTTCCTTGTATTCCCTGAGTTGAATACTGTGCTAAGAGTCCAAGCATTCTGGGGACATTTACTATTGCCAAAGCATCACTTCCCAAAGCATAAATATGTGTATGTAGAGCTATTTGGGTTCGGTTTTTTCTGCTTTTATCCAAGAGTAAATGGATTTGGCTATCTTGCCTTCATCTCCTTTTGCATATAGGGCCTGGTTTGTACATAATGGGAGCCCATGCTTTCCCCCTCTGTGAACAGAACCTGTGTGAGCTTTGGGTTTTCAGACACCCCGCCTCCCTCTTTCTCTCTTGCTGCTGTGAGGAAGAGATTCCTTCCTGTTCTTTGTTTGCAGTCTTAAACAAACCACAGCTTCCTGTTACAGTGGAACTGTGGTTTGATAGAATGAACCAGGATCTGAAATCACAGCTGGTTTAAACAAACTCCAGCATTTGCGTGCAGCAAGGAGCTGTGATTTGTTGAAAAGTGAAAGTGAGTGCTTCTAGCCTCCTTGCAGCTGTGCAAGGGCAGGTCGAAAAGGAGAATGTGCAAGCCCAAACTCACCATGGTTCTTTCACCTAGTGGGAAACTATGGCATCCCATTGCATCTGAAGCCACTTCAAGTCAATGGTGCGTGATGGTGACCTAACTAGGGGACAGGTGTCTTTATAAGGCTCTGTATGGATGTAATACCACTGATCCCTTAACCTTAGGGAACAGCTTGAGCCAACATGTGAATGTGTGCGCTCTCTCCTCCCTCTGTGGACCAACTTCCCATCATTAGCTCTGGTTATATATTACATCTGCACTGAGACAAGCCATGATTGGAGCAAATCTCATTCCCCTGAAATTGCCTAACTTGTGAACATGCTTATAAACATGGTCTAATTTCTTAGGAACATAGGAAACTGCATCATACTGATTCAGAGCACTGGTCAATCTATTGTCTTCTCTGACTGGCCATGGGTCTCTGGGGTTTCGCACTTGGATCTCTTCCAGTCTTACCTGGAGATCCTTGGGATTGAACTTGGGACCTTCTGCATGCAAATGAAATACCCTGCCACTGAGCCACACTCATTCCAATCCTTGGTTTACAAATGAGGTCATGATCTGCATTCTTTATGATTTGTGTCAGTGCCCAGGTTATATGAAATCCTGACTAATCCTGAAGGCAGATAGAAGGGGAAAGAGCAAAGGCTTTGGGATTTGGCTCTGTCCCTAATGGTCTTGGCATGAGGGTTTCAGACTGAGGTGCCCAGGATTATTTTGGCCCCTGGGCTCAGGGCAGGGACCCAGTTGTGGTACATGTTGGTAACTACTCAGTACTGCCTTTTCTTTTCTTCGTGGTTAGATGAATATTGATAACCATTGCTGACTGGTTCCTTTTTGTATTTTATTTTAAGGAGCCTAAAATCTTGCAATTCCTTCCATTCTAGATCGAATACAAATTTTGCAATGGGTCTGATAAAGAGTGTGTATCTCCCACTGGCAAAAGCAACAAGAAGGAGACTTTGAAGGTACGTATAGTTTAGATGTGTGGAAAAGAATATTTATTCTATTTGTGTGGGAAGCTGTTGCTTGAGAGACTGGAACCTCTTTCTCTTTGGGCCATAGGCCACGTCTCTGGAGTATCACAGCAAGGCTAGAATTCTTCTTTCTCTTTTTTTACACTGCTCTTTCTTCCCTGTGGATTAGTTTGCTTTTATTTATTTTTTTACTTTTTTATTTATTGAATTTATATACTGTCCTATACCTGGGGTTCTCAGGGCGGTTCACAGAATAAAATCAAGATATAAAACCGCAAAATACATAATAAAAATAAAAACAACAATAGGCTTCCCAAAAAAAAACACATTTTAAAAGGGGATAGGATGTAATTAATTCAAATTACAACTTTGCCGTGCATAGGGTAGCTCTTTTCTTCAGCTATATTTTCCAGAAGAATCTTACCAATAATAGGATATTTTTAATCCTTTCTTTGAGCTGTCAGTGGTCTCCAGTCAATGTCACACATGTCACACATGGGCTTTATTAACACTACAACTGGCGACAACTGTGGAGGTACAACAATGCAAAACCCGTTTACTTATAACCTCCATCCCTTCCTTATATGCTCAACCTGCCCTTGTATGCCCAGTAGGTCACTGTGTTCTGCAGGAGCATTTCTCCTTAAAGTCCCAGAAACATTAGAAGCCCCGCTCTACAGGCACTTGGGGCAGGGCTTTCATTGTGGCTTCCCTTGTTCCCTGGAACAGCATTCCTGTTGAGATACAACAAGCACCCACAGAAACAATGGAAATCATGCTTGCTTTGACAAGCTTTTCCAGCTGAATGAAAAATCCTCTGCCTTCCAGTATTCATTTTGTATTGATTTTAAACTTGTTTTCAGTTGTTGTTGTTCTTCTGCTGCTTTCAAAACTACTTTATCTGGTTTTTATGATATGTGTGTAAATCATACACACGTATATTAGACACGTATAAGCAAAAGTGATCCATAAATTAATACTTACAGAAAAATAAACAAAACCTGGAGAATTCTGAAGCTGGGTTTGAAAGTGAATTGTTTTCCTATGGTACTCAGTAAGGCTTGATATGCCCAGTACCTGGACTCCTTAATTAAAATCAATGGAAGTGGCTGTGAAGGATTCATATTCTGCCCTGTTGCCAGAATATAACTGGCTCACGGTTACTCATTCAGCTCCATGGCCAAGTAGGGTTTTGAGTCTTCGTCTCCCAGGTCCTCATCTGACCCTCTGTAAGCACTATGTTGCGCTGCCTCCTTGAGTAAAAAGGATTTGTTCCAAGCAGCTGTGGAACCGCATTAAGTAAGAGGCCAAAATCAATAGCAATTTTACCAGATAATAAAGCACTTGCTGTCCCAGCCACTGTTTCACTCCCTACAATGCGAGTTGTTTCTCTAAATGAATGCCATGGTCTCATCTTCTCTCCTCAGTTTTTCACCCACTTTTTTTTTTTTTTTTGCTAGCATAGGAGAAAGAAGAAAACTGTGTTCATGAGTGTTTTCACCCCTCTTTCCCCCATCTCTGTAACAGGTACAGAAGAAGAATTACAGGCAGGAAAAGAAAAGGGCAACCAAGCAACTCTTCAGCGCTTTGAAAGATCCCAGTGTGGTCATTATGGCAGATTGGCTGAAGGTAATTTAGTATAAAGTGTCATTTTAAGAAGATCCAGCTACTCTTAGGGCTGTTCAGTCATAATCCATCAGCTGCCTTCTCTTCGAAGGTTGCTTGCTGCTTACAAATAGTCCTGTTTGGAGAATAAAACCTGATGACTCAAATACTATATTTTTTGATCCAAAACTTATATATGTCAAAATGAGCAATAAAATTTAGACTAGGGGAGCAAGGGAAATGGTTAGGAAGACAGATAGCCTGACTGTTGACTCACCAAGGACTTCCTTTCGTTCAGAATGCCTTCCAAATTAGTTAAGTGCCCTTTTCTGGTGGTGGTGTGGGGAGAGACCAATTTTCTGAAAATAATTACAATGTTAATTCTGACATTTATGGAAATGCATTCTTTAGGCAGAAAATTTAGGAATGATGGATATTTTAAAGCGGAAAATGAAAGAGCTATCTTCATGCTCTCAGATCAACAGTCCATCCAGCCCAACAAGTCTAAACACTACAGGCAGAAGTATCTCTTCAGCCTTGCTAACCAACCTCCCTTTATTTGGAGATGCCAAAGGCTGAACTGTTGGCCTTGTGTATTTATATAAAGCTGGGATTGCCAATGGGGCACATGTATATGTTCCCACAGAAGTCCTCCCTGGTGCTCAATGAGTCTGAAATTAGCCTCAAAAGAAGCATAGGGCAGGTTGTCATTTGTGTCAGAGATGCTCACCACAGTTTCTCCTGTTTGCACATATGCCCATAGGCTCAGAAAGGTTGGTGACCTTTGATATAAGCCACACGTTCTTGTTGTTGAAACTTCTAATCATTTCCTTTAAATTACAGCTTCCCACTTATTACGCCATCACTCTGCATTCTTGCAGGGCCAAACCCTTACATAACAACGCAGTCATGAAGTCACCTTCTGATCTCTGGTGATCAGATCTATTACTGGCATGAAGTTCTTACTGACACCGGTTTCCATTAGCCATTGTTAATGGTTCACTTTAAATGTGCCTTTCTGATCTGTTTGTCCCCTCCCTGCTAGCACGTGGAGGAAATAAACTTTTACCTCAGAACCAAACAAGGTATCCATAAGATACGTGAAAGAGAAATGGGCTCTTTTGGTTGTTTGAGTTTTTCTGCAACCTTTCTAGGGAGTCACTAAAACACTAGCTAGGCTGCAGTGGTGGTGGTGGTGGTGGTGGTGGTGGTGGGAAGTAGGAGGAGAAGACCCCCCCCACACACACACACCTTGAAACCCTGGAAATGTAAAAAAATTAAGTGACTTCAGCATGCATTGCCCTTTTGGATGTAAGAGGCTATAGTCTCTCCAGGGAAATGCTGCATAAATGTCTTGGGGTCTTAGCAAAATTGCACCCTCTTAATGAGCTGCTTATGGGACATGGGTGGTGCTGTGGTCTAAACCACAGAGACTAGGGCTTGCTGATCAGAAGGTCGGCGGTTCGAATCCCCGTTATGGGGTGAGCTCTCTTTGCTCGGTCCCTGCTCCTGCCAACCTAGCAGTTCAAAAGCATGTCAAAGTGCAAGTAGATAAATAGGTACTACTCTGGTGGGAAAGTAAACGGCATTTCCGTGCGCTGCTCTGGTTCGCCAGAAGTGGCTTAGTCATGCTGGCCACATGACCCGGAAGCTGTACGCCGGCTCCCTTGGCCAATAAAGCAAGATGAGCACTGCAACCCCAGAGTCGTCTGCGACTGGACCTAACGGTCAGGGGTCCCTTTACCTTTAATGAGCTGCTTAGTGAAAACCAGCTCTTTTCTTTGCAGGCAGCTTCCCCTGGGAGTTTTGCTTCAGCCCCAAGTTACTTCATGAGAAATCATACAGTGTGAGAAGCCACTAGGGAGAATAGTATGGCTGCATCGTTCTCTGACCCTATTAAACAAGAATATTTCACTGGATAGGGACTATGTAAAACTGCTTCGCTGGATAGTGACTTGGCTTGAGTAGAGCGGGGAATAATTCCTCCTAACTCCTTCCCCCCTCCCCCCCTCAGATTCGTGGGACTCTGAAAAGCTGGACCAAGTTGTGGTGTGTGCTGAAACCTGGAGTCCTGCTGATCTACAAAACACCAAAGGTCGGGCAGTGGGTGGGCACCATCTTGCTTCATTCCTGTGAGCTGATTGAGAGACCCTCCAAAAAGGACGGCTTCTGTTTCAAACTTTTTCACCCGCTGGATCAATCTATTTGGGCTGTGAAGGTAAGTGCAAGGCCCGAACTTGGCAACAAATGTTGAGCTTCCTTGAGGAGAAAACAACAGGCCCCAAGCAGGCTCGGGAGTAGCTCTGGCAGCTATTGGGGGTCTGAATCTTGAAGAATTTGTGGCTGGGATTTATTGTGGGGAAGGGAAACCTCAGTAAAATCAAGAGAGATTTCAGCAGAATTCTCTTTTTGGGAGCGTTCCTCATGATAGATCGTAAGGGAAACTTCAGGGCCAGAGGACAAATATAATCCTCCAGGCTTCTATTTAAGCCCCTAGGGATCCTTTCTAGGCTATGCCCTCTATGCCACTGCTCTGCACTTTCTTTGAGTGCTTTTGGTAGGCTGAAATGTGTCCTTAATCTGTGCTTGTTGCCTTCAAGGAGGAGGAGGAGATAGGTAGGTAGGTAGGGGGTCAATTGTCCACATGTAAAGTGATATTTCCTTTCATGCTGCATCTATCCTGGTCTAACTAGGTTGGAACCTCTAAGGGGACACAATATTGGGCATTGCATTTATATGCCTCTAGTACAATAGAGCCTTGAACTTTTTGTGGGCCTCTGGGCCCAGTGAAGATATTATTGCCTGAAGATCTTACAACTTCTATTTATAAGTAATCCAAGCAACGTTGTCAAGAAATGACGCTCTTTCCCTGAGACATAAATAAATAGCATTTGCCGCCAGCTGTGATGAATGAGACTGGCTCCTCACCACCTTCTGACACGTTCAGAGATTATTAACATCTGCTCTGAGGGAACAGTGCTTAACCACACTTGAATCTGGTCCATTCCTAAAAGTAGCAAGTCTGCAGACTGACAGCTAAGATACTGTGAGGAACATTTTCAGTCTAAATTAATGCAGTGCTGATTGCTCCATCACAAGAGACTATAAATGGGGCCACATTTATGCTTGGAGAGCTGATATCATTTTTCATGCTGGCATTAGAAATATATGTCAAAAATGGAACCACAGACATCCAGGTAAATGTCTCATAGCTGGCCACTCAGAACAGACCCTTTCTTGTTTGGAAATGAAACATTCTGTTCTTTCTTTCTTTCTTTCTTTCTTTCTTTCTTTCTTTCCTTTACATTCTAACATGCCAAAGTGCTCTGAAGTAAAAAGATTGTGTTTTGGAAGGCAAAACAAAAATTCCATGCAAGGTAATAGCTTTTCATAGGATCAGCCAAAAATCATGAAGAATTTTATTCAAGTTAGAAACATAAGAATCTGCCTTTTAGCAAGTCGGACAAATTTTCTGTCTAACTCAGTGTAGTCAACTCTGACTGGCAGCAGCTCTCTGGGATTTCAGAGGGGGAGACTTTCCCATCCCTACCTAAAGATGCCAGAGATTTAACCTGGGGCCTCCTGTGTGCAAAGCAGATGCTGCAACACCGAGCTTTGCCCCTCTTCTTGATCCTGCTTGTTATGCCCCCCCCCAAAAAACCCACTACGTAAAAAGGAGGGAGGTGCAGAGGAAGATGCCTTCCACAATGGAAACCCCCAACATGCATTTTGTAATGGTTATCTGTGAATTCTGCCTACAATGCAAAAAATATTGGTCAAATTAGCTGATAGTCGCTTCAATTCAATTGGGGCCTTTAAAATATTGAAACACAATGTGTGTTGTAATTAATCCTAATAATGAACTTGAAACACCGAATTGTTCACTTGCAAATATTTATCTCATGGGAAAATGTTGGCAGTCGTTAGAAACCTCTCTCTTTTTTTGTCACAAAGGGTCTTGCTCTGATGTTTGCATTATCGCCTTTTAAATTGGACCCATGAACAAATTGGTCTGCTTTTGACCTCCCTAATAAAGCATTAGACATGGGTACCTTAGGCCTGCCTCCTTCCAGGTGAACCATCAGTGATGTCACAACACAGGGGTAGGCAACATAAGGCCCAGGGGCCGGATCCGGCCCAATCGCCTTCTCAATCCGGTCCGCGGACGGTCTGGGAATCAGCGTGTTTTTACATGAGTAGAATGTGTCCTTTTATTTAAAATGCATCTCTGGGTTATTTGTGGGGCCCGTCTGGTGTTTTTACATGAGTAGAATGTGTGCTTTTATTTAAAATGCAACTCTGGGTTATTTGTGGGGCATAGGAATTCATTCATCCCCCCCCCAAAAAAAAAATATAGTCCAGCCCACCCCACCACATGGTCTGAGGGACGGTGGACCGCCCCACGGCTGAAAAAGGTTGCTGACCCCTGTCATAACATAACCAATCTGATGTGTCACTATTCCACCCCTAGTTTTCACATGGCAAGCTGAAAGTGTTCCCGCTCTGAAAATTGCATACTTCCTGAAAATATGTCACCTCAGAGAGAAGGCCTGACAACTTTCCTTTTTTGTGACATGTCTGTCTGTCTCGAGAGACAATGGAGTGCGCCTTCAGGGGTGAAGTCAAACTGCTGCGTTAGCAGCACCAGCTTGCCCCGGGGCGCAAGCCTGGGCAGTGTGTTTGTAGGTCCTGGGCTGCTGGACAACAAGACCCACCTCTCAGCCTTACTTATGTGGTCCAAAGGAAATCAGAGCAATATGTTTGACACTAGCTTGACCACAGGAGGTAATGCAGTGTGTATGATTAGCAAGCTGTGGCACTTCCAGTCTAATGACTCCTTATGTGAAACCTTTGATGGGGCTGTATTGCGAGAGAACTTCACCAGCTTTGAGGTTCAGTACTGAGACTCAATTTTTGTCATCAGGGATGGTCTTTTGAGCTACATGTCATAGCTTGGCTCTGACATGAACACTTTAAAGTGAGAGCAGTTTGGGACATCCTTTTAAAATGCTCTTTTAAGGGGTGTTGATCATTTAATCCTAAACTTGTTTACTCAGGAAGAAAATGAGTTGACTGAGTTAAGTGTGCAAGAATTGCTTGACCAGTCAAAATCAGGGAGTTTCTTCAGCTTTCTTACAGAAGCCAAGCTGCCTAATGGAATACTTCAGATTCCAGATATGTTGAATATTGAGCAGCTTTTAAAGGTTCATATGGAATGTGTATCAACAGTTAGCATCACAGGTGGCCAAACATGGACTGCAGGATTTATTCATTGCAGTTTTGCATAAGGAAAAAATATTTATTGCAATTTTTTAGATTTTGCTCCTGAGGACCAGAAAAGTGGGGAATGAAATAAGAGGCTACCACCGATCATGCTGATCTAGAGATGATCTGACAATTCGAACTGCTGGAGCAACACATTTTCTGACCTAGTTTTTAATACCTAAAAATCTGTCAGGGAATGAGTACATTTATTTACTTGCCCTCCCTGGAAGAGGCCAGGCTAAGACATCTTTTCTCTTTTGCAAGATGGGCTTGTGAATGAAACTGAAGCTATTGCTATGGAGACCTAATAGACAAAATGAGCAGAGCTGGAAATCTCATCATTCAGCTTAGCAGATCCCAATGCTGCAGCTGACATTAATATGAACTGGCAGTACTTCTAGTGGCCTTTTCCCTTTTGCTAGTTTTAATCTGAAAGCTGGGTTTTGGGAAACACTTAATGCATTCTGGATATGAATGGTTTTGGGCTTTTTTATATAAGAGATATGGGGGGGGAGGAATCGTGCTAATATTTTTAGTTGGAGTAAGGGTTAGAGTCACTTCTTTATAACACCAAAGTGTTTTAAATTATCTGTCAACTAAAAAAACCATTGAGTAGCATCTAGGGTAGTGTATAAGGCAACAATTTTAACCCAACTTGCTTGGGAGTAAGCCCCACTGAATTCAATAGGGCTTAGCTGTGGTTAGGATAGTGCTGTGAACAATAATGACCCAGGTCAGTTTTCATTTCTGCCATGAACTTGCTTAGGTAGACAAGCCCCCTCTCCTTGCAGTATGGGGGTGATAACTACATTGCAGGGTTGTTTTTAAGCATTACTGATATTATGTATATGAAACACTTTGAACACTGTAAATTGCAGTAGAAATGTGTGACGAGGGGGTTATTGGCTTGCTCCTGTTCTTGTTCTTATTGTAATTTAAAAATAAAATAAAAATCTTATATTTTTATGTTGCAAATCGCCCTGAGGTCTACGGATGGAGGGTGGTATACAAATTTAATTAAAATTAATGCAATAACAGTGGGGAAGTATCACAGAACAGCTAGTTAAGCTGAGTGATGTGTGGACTGTCCAGTATCAATCCATCACTAATGCTCTATTATTGTGGCAATGACATGTTGCAGAATGCACCCAGGAAGAAACCACCAGTCTGGAGATGCCTCCTGTTCTCCAGCCCATCTGCTAGTGAGATGGCAGAAGGATGAGGAGGTGCTGGGCCTCAAAGGGACACCACAACAGCTTCCCAGTGACTGGTGCTCTTTCATCTAAGAACTGCTAGTGCATTAGCTTTGATGGGTCATGGTTAAGTTTAAATGAATGCTATTGGGATCCCGATGCTGAGTGCTCTTGAGGTATTTTGCGGAAGTGAATTCCTCAAGCGAAGGCACCAGAGTGTTACACAGGAAATACAGTACAATACTCATTGTACAGTCATGGTTAGTCACTCATGGGCCACCTTTAATAGGCCCACTCATGGGCCACTCATGGGCCACGGATCCTTCGCCACCCCCCTGCTCTTCAAAGTTCTGGGCAGGTCTCTCCTCATTACCCTCCGTTATTTGACTATTGT